GATATGGGAAATTTGCTGTAATGAAGCATTGAGTGGTGTCTTTTGTGACAATATAAGCAATTGAATTTGCTTTTGCAATTTTTATATGTATGCGCATGTGACAAGCAATTTGTACATAATTTTTTTGATCTCACGAAATAGTTTCTTTCGTGAATTTTTAATTTTTTAAATATCTCGCAAGATTGTAGCTTAGGCCCTCTTGTGCATAGTTCGCATGACGTATGATTGTTCTGTTCGGAAGTGAACGATTGCGTTTTGTACCAGCTTCTGTTTAATTTGTTTCTGCTACTTGCTTGGGGTCTATTGAAGCTTCTTTTGAGGTCGTTTTGAACGTTTTTGGTTCTAACTAGTTTTTTGTCTACCCTTTCTGCTATTTCGTACTGGGTAGTAAGAAAGTCTTTCATTTGTTGCCACGTGGGGCATTTCTTTCGTGATGAGAGCGATTGCTCCCATAAAAGTAACGATTTTTCTGGTAATGCGGCGGTGCATATATTTACCAGAATAGGGTCCTAGCTGTCTGTGGGAATATTTTGTGTCGATAGAACCGACAAACAATTAGAAACAGTGGATTGTAGTCTAACAAATTCTTCACTTGTTTCTTTTTGAATTTTAGGCAAGTTTATTAGTGTCGTTACTTGGTTATCGACCAATATTCTTTCATTTTCATATCTTGCTTTTAGAGCTTCCCAAGCCAAATTGAAATTGTCGTCATTAAGTGCGAACTGTTTGACTATTATGCCTGCTAGACCTTTTGTTTTGTATCGGAGGTGATACAATTTTTGCGCTTTTGATAATTTTGGATGGTTGATGTATACGGCAGTGAACATGTCCCGGAAGGACGGCCATTCTTCATAACCTCCATAAAATATTTCTATGTCACATGCGGGCACCTCGAGATGGATGCCTGAACTTGCCTCTTGACTCTGAATTTGTGGCAGCTCTACTCTCGGATGTGTAGTAGGTGCAATCGCTTTTATTAACTTTAATTGATCAGAAATCATAGCTTTTGTTTCTTCGTACTGGTCTAAGCAGTTTTCGTATAGTGCGTAAGCCGATGATTGAAAATCGTGTGGTAGATCTGAATTGTCATAATCTACTATGGCGTCATGAGCCGTTTGGAGACGAGTCCAAAAATTGTCAATATTTTGTTTTTTTATTTCCAATAACGATTCAGAGTTGTCTTTAATCGGTGAAGATGAAAATCGTTATCCTGTTAATCTGTCACTCTCAGAAATGAATTTGGTGGCACAAATATCTTTGCCTTTTATTTGCTTTTTGGTAACCTGTCTTGCGCGTGTAGCTTCTGCAGGTGTAATTTGAATTTTATCTATATTCATTATTTTGTATGTTAAAATATTTGTCAAAAATTATTAAAATTTTCTCAGTGTAAACTGTATTTACTAGCAATATGATTTTGTTGTGGTTTTATTTTGAATGTATTGCTTTAATTAATTTAATTATTAAAAATCGCACTTTTAATTCAATAATACTTTTTATGTCCTTATATTGATGTATTTAGGTACACCCTAATACACGGACTTGTTAGTATATATTTATGTGCTCGTGAAATTGAGAGCTCGTTGAAGAGATCAATACACTTTGTACGGAAGTATGCACGGATTGTTTGTGCGTATGTATGTTTAATTTCTAATGCAATTGAGTGCTCGTTGAAGAGATCAATCTGCTTTTAGTTTTTTTGTACGCAATCCTGCTTGTTTGTTACAAGGGGTATTGCGGGATGTATGCCAATGTGGACTTAGAAAATATGTACAACTACAATTGTATATGTTTTAATGTATTAAGTACAAATTTATTTATTTTTTTATTTTTATTTCTGGTAGTGTTAATTTTACTACAACGTTTATTATTGTATTTTATTTTATTTTTTGTAATTTTACAACTTTTTATATAATTTTCTAAATTTTCATAGTGTAATTGACCCAATGTATGTAGGGTATAAAAGCATAGGCATAGATTCTATGCCGTATGTATAAATATGGTAAATATGTATTATTTTCGCGGTACCAATAAAGCGAAAACAGAGAATTGATAATGCGCAGGTAGTTTACCGTCTTGGCTATAGGTAAATATTTTATTGTGCACAATTGTATTTGTTTGCAGTTTCTAAATTTCAGTTGTGAATATATATGAAATGTATATACATATATGGTATATATTGCACTTGGCAATTATATGTATAAAGAATATATGTACTGATTATGAATAAGTACATATATTTTTGCACTAAAGTATGCATATATGTTTGTATGTTTACTTTTATTTATATATTTTTTTGTTGTTGAATTTTGTGTGGTTAAATATACGAAGGTAAGCGTATATTAACAAAAAATTATTATTTATTGTTATTAATGTTTTAGAATATGTATGTGGATGCATAAACTGTATCTTTTCGATAAACATATGTGCAAAAATAAATAAAAGTGAAATGAATACGCTCACTTTGATTCTGTAGGGTATTTTGTGGAGGGTTTATGTATATATATATGCTGCCTTTATGCCTTCTGCGTTTTGTTCCAGTGTCTGTCCTCTTCGGCATCCAGCTGGCTAGCTCCTTATGCGTGTTAAATTGTTGTTTTTATGATCGTGTCCGATTATTTTAGTTTCGCGACCTCTTTAAGTTGTTCTTGATCATTAAAATCGCTTTATAATTGTATGTATTTTGTTTTTGATGCACACACTTTCATGTATACATATATGTTTGAGGGATCGCGCCCGTTTGTTTTGTTTTTGTTTATGTTTTATTGTTGAGATGCTTTTACATTTCGCGGCCAATTTGTGTTTTTTGTTTGTTTGAACCCTTTTGTATTTGTTGTTGTTTTTATTTTTTTAGGCTACACGCACTTTATATATTTATGTTTGTTTTGTTTTGTCTTATATGTTTTTTTTTTGTCACTGCACTTCCCCGCACCGTTTGTTTTATTTTGTGGTTTGAGATCCTAATTTGCACTTATTTGAATGCATATTTATTAATATGTATGTTGTATGTACCAGTATATATTATATATTTTTGGGTCACTGAACTTTATAACACCGCACTGGTTATACATAAGTACATATATGTGTATATTTTTGTTAATTTTCCGAGGTGCCTTTCGGTAAGGCTCGAAGGACCATGTTTAACAGGATACCCAATGTATTGGGGAGCACGAAATTTATTTCCACTAGCTTTAAATAGAATTCTAAAAGAAGCACTCGTATTATTAGTTTTATAATGGAACTCCGTTCAAATTTATTTATTTAACATTTTATAATATTTATGTATTAAACAGCAGTTCCAATTTAATTAAAAATAAACGTAGCTGTGCTGGACTGGAAGCAAACCATCTGATTGCGCGAAAAATAATGTCGTACTAAATAAAGGATCAATTGTCGACGCGCTGTACCGCTGAAACGTCGAGTTATTTTATATTGTATTTGTGTGGTGATGTATGAGTGTGGTGTATTGTAGTAGGTTATCCTAGGGTGTGCCCTTATTTTCCGGGTGAAGCGGTGTACTTGGCGGGGGGAGTTTATAGTCATTTAAACACAGACGATCGGAAATCAGTATATGGTATTAGGGATATGAGGTCTGGACTCTGTAGCAACATGTTGCGAGAGTATAAAAATATAAATTGTTTGTGGAGCTTATGGTATACTCTTTTATACTTTCATGCTTAAAATAAACAAAAATATTAATGGAGTGGCAAGGCAATGGTCCACTTTTGTGCGGTTTTTATAATATAAAGGGTGAATTTCAAAAATAAATAAAACAAATATAATTTAATTTTATGGCCAAGAGTTTAGCTTTATTATAAATACAAGGGGTTACCATTATGTTTTAAAAATTATTTCGTGAAAGTGACCGCCGCGGTTGGCTCTAACAAATTCCATCTGAGAGAACAAATTTCGACCACTTTTTGTAACGATTGGGGCCGTATGCGACGAATATTCTTTTCCAAGGCATCAATCGTCTCGGGCTTATAGAGGGGCTAGGGTTTCAAGGTAAAAAAAATTATTTTTTTTGCGAATTTTTGTCGTAAATATGGATTGAGTAATTTTATTCGGACCTTTTGTATATTATTGAGCATACTTTCGACAATATAGGGTAATTTTCATCCAGGAATATTGAAACATAAGCCGGTAACAGAGCTTAACCCAGAACGTGTTGAGAAAAAAACAATTTGCGGTGTTCACCATAACTCGGTTGGAAACTATCCGAAAAAAAACCAAGAAAAATTAGTTAAATTATGATAAAATCTTCCCCCCAACGTTCTCTGATAATTTGTTTTTTCTTTAAAAAAATTTTGACGGCTATTTAAAGTGTAAACTGTTATTTCCCACTAAAAATTTCGCCATTTTGAGGGTGGAAAACACTCTTAATGAAAAGTTTAATAAGCGTAGGGGGACGGTATTTTATGTGTCGAAAATGTGTATAAAGTTTGAAATGAATCGGTGAAGTAGTTTTGAAGTGACAGTGAACACGGACTTTGAAAAAGTAGTTTTGAGAAAAATGCGTCTAAAGTTTATGAACTATTGGTTGAAGCGTTAAAGGCCATTAGATTAATAAGACAATAACTTTAAGAATATTGCTTCTATCGACCTAAAATTTTAAGGAAATATTCTTGAAATGTTAAAAAATAAGATAAGAAAAAAAAATCGAGTTTTCGAAAGTAAAAACACTTCCTTAAATTTGCACAGTTATCTTTTATTCCTGCAGTAGGACCTTCTGACCGGACGGAGACCTTTTTGCAAAATCACCGTCGATTATTCAATTATGTTCGATGAATATGTAAACAAAACATTAACATACATATGATTGGACATATGGCATCCGTCGTGGCCTCTTCTACTCTCCTCCTGCACCGTTATACAATATAACTACTATGTACAGCTGGTAAGTTTTGGGTAAGGCAGAGTGCTGATTTATATTAAGCCTCACAAATCACATTATAATCGATTAGTGATCGTATTTTAATCGTTATCGTTAAATTTTGTTATTGTTTTTTTAGAAACGTGTATTTATTCGTTGTGATAAAAACTGCTTCATTGCTGTATTTAACACTATTTTTTTATTATGTTTAAAAATTTGAAAAAACATTTTCAGAAGTCGAAATACATTTAAGAGAAAAATTACAAAAAATTTGAAATATTCATGAAATAAAAATGATTAATTTCAAATAATACGAAAGTTCACTACAAAATCTCAAAATTTGGACCCACAGGTTCAGGCTAGTTTTCAGTAAACCTTTGAATAGAAACTGCTGATTTTGGTAAGATAACTACGGGGTCATGGAGTTGTTTCTCCTGAACAATTATATAATATATATTTTTTGCCATAGGCTTAGTTATAGTTTGTTAGATCTGCATTTAAAGTCCAAAAATTTCAAATTTATTTGTACATTATACTTAATACACTACATTACATTACACTTACATTTATATAATTGTAATTACACTATGCATATAAGTGTAAGTTTTTAAAGAAAAAGGTTTATTTGTCGCACTCATAGTTCAAGATATTTGTGTGTTTCTACACCTTAGAAATCATGAAATAAGGGTTAGCATAACTTGTCACACAATTGCGTTTTTAGCGTCTTTGATCACGCTTTAAAAAAATTACCCTAGTCGATCCAACATCGGGGTTTATCAAGAAAAGGGAAATACTGAAATATTTTGCTGTATCTATCACAAGATTATGGTTTCTGCTTTTGAGGTTTAATCTTGTTCACTTGAAGGTTGTTTGTAACACCTAAAAGTAATCGAGATAGATATAGAGATACATATATATCAGATCAGGATGACGATACGAGCTGAAATGTAAGCTGTAACTTGAATGAGTTAATATATCGTCACGTGGTCACTGCCACGCCGACAAAACGCTATAAGTCAAAAAGGCACAAAGTGCCATAACTACATATAATAATTTCCTTCTTGCCTTTTTATATTAAGGGTTTAGCGCTGAACATGAATGGAGTTCGTCTTAATCTTATATCCCTAATATCATCAATTGCATCTTCTGGTTGACATTTTGCACATCAACTCAATATATTAAATTCAGCTTCATCGGTTAGGTATATGTCAGATATATTCGATTTGAGGATGATTTTAATATATATTTCGATGCCGGGAAGTAGAATATAGCTATAAAAGTAATGGAGCCTATGACCTATAATAAAACTTAATAAAATACCAAATTTGAAAGTAATTCATTTAGGATTTCATAGAGTAATGAATGTTGAATTCTTCCGCAATATTTTTTAATATGAAGTTTTACCAACACCTGAAGGTATTTCCCCAGCTTTGATCCTTGCAAGTTGCAACAGCATGAAATGTTCGGTTAAACCGAAGCTTCGCCCTTTCTTATTCGTTTTTATTTATTTTTGGTTCGTTTGCAAAATATGTAGAGATGTTGTTATTTGTCCGCATGCAACTCTAATGTTATTGTGTGGACAAATCGAATAGCATTAAAAGTGGAAATTTCTGCAATACTTAAAGAATGCCCTAATGCTTCCAAAAATATTACTTTTTTAAAATAAAGAACTCTATCGAGAGAGTTATGAATACAAATAATAAAATAATCAATTTTTGTAAATTTTTGGACTTAAAAAAATATGAAATTTATACAATTTTTACCTCAGAATTCACATCTCCATGAACTATGCAAGCAAGTTCCACTTCATGACCTTCAGCTGCATGAACCCATGACTTCTCGACAGTTATCTCAGGTGGGGCTTTAATATACAAAATAAAAACAAAAACAAAAAACAATTATATTTGAGTAATATGTATATATTATAATTTTCAAACATTTGCATATTTGCACTGATATGTAAGCTACTACAACTTTAATTTTTGTTATACAAATAACTATCAAATTTTTTATATTCTTATATTTTTATTAAAAATGTAACGTTTGTTAATTTTTTTTTTATAACCTAAATTGGTTTTATTTAACAGGTGTGTCAACCTACAAAGAATAGTTAGTTGTATGTCCATTGATACACGTTCTTTCACTCCATTATCCGCAGAGCACTGATAGATTCCAGCATGATGTCTATCGACGTTCTCCAGTATTAAGGTTGAACTATCAGATAAATGAGTAGGGCCCGCAAATACATCTTTTTTAAACCAATAAATAGTTGGTACTGGATTACCCGAAGCCTTGCATTCCAAGGTAACAGTACTGCCTTTGCGAGCAGTAACTTGCCCATTGTGCGGTAACGCACGAAGTGTTGGTGGTACTAAAAAGAAGGAATTCGATTCCAATATACTCATATATAAGTAAATAGAATAAAAATAAAGTATGAGAGTATAATCTTATGTTCTGTACTTAATAATATAAAAAAAAATGTCTGCAACATTTCAAGTAAGACTAGAGAATCTTGTGATTCGAGCCTTCTTTTATCCCTTCTTATTTTGTTCATATAATAATTTAACGATTTCTTCCCTTATTTTATCTTATATAATCGTTATTGTTAAATATTACGTTTTGATAATTTCTTCCAGTGATACCAGATTCAGTAGTTTCGAACACTATTTTTAATATATGCGTCAAAAAAGCATGTAACTATTTTATATTAAACTTTATACCAAAAGCACAAAAATCATTGTAGTGGGTTGTGAAGTAATTAATTAATTGAGATAAAAATATTTCACAGGTATTTCGATAAATAACGTAAAAAAACAACTGGAAGTTCGAATATCGTGGAGAGTCGCCACCCGTTAGACCATCTTTCTAGCAAAGTGGAAGAATTTAATAACATTTAAAATTGGGAATATATATGGCATCAAGTGTGATTATAGAAGGCGTGGGTATTTCTGCTTTTCAAATTGTGATATAAAGATGTTAAAGGAATGTTATGTATCACATTTGGCCAAGACGTCAAGCCTTTGATAAAATATGAGATGTTAGCAAACAGTGGGCGGTAATATTATTGTCCTATTATTAAATCATAGTCAACTGAGAAGACAATCGCCATTTTTTTGTTTATTATCTATTCCGGATATCTCAATGTTTAAATAAATATTTTATTTACTTTTTCTAACTAACGACTTAAGTTTAAAAATACCCATAAATACCTAAAATTTCCACAGTATGAACTTGATCCCGATTTTCTTGATCTCCAAGTTGGCAAATATAGTCACCAGCATCCTGGGTTTTCACACTTGCTATTTGAAGATTATAGTCCCCCACAATTTTGAATCTTTGATCTCTTGTTATTTTTAAGTGACCCGCTGTTAAAACAGAAGAACCTTTTCTCCATAATAGAACAAATGATCCAAGATTTTGAACCTTGCAAGGAAGTTCTATAGTTTCACCAACAATTACTTTATATAAATGTCCGCGTGATAGAAATTTAGGTGAAACTGCTGGGGAATCATGATCAGTTAATGTGAAAAGTCCATCCGAGTGAGAGACTGGAAGTAAATATAATAAATTGACAAAATTGTACATTATAATGAAAATCATAATTCGAAATTCCAATAAATCTAAGTATAATTGCAATAAATGCTAAGTATATTTTCTTGCTCAAAACGACTTCACAAAATATTTTATAGAGGTTTTTAAAAATATAGATACTTGCGCACATTAGAAAAATTAAAATTATAAATCAAATGTGTGAGTAAATAGAGTTCTTTGTATGTACAAACCAAAAAAAGTTTCAGGTAGTCGTGACTAGCTGCATTCTTTTATTAACATTTACATGATTCTTCTAATGTATTCTTCTACCAAATTAATTATTTTAAAAATATTTTTTATTTTTTCTCCTTAAACACCAATCTCGCATAGAGCCAATAACAAAATAAGTAATGATTATATAGACGGCCACAAAAATAAAACGCAACAATAAAACATGTACATATGATATAAGTATATCCATACATATTTATACTTGTAGGTATACACTTGCCTGTTGTTTTTATGGGAAATATTATTGCCAGCAGAAAAAAAATTGGCCATGTAAATCGATGAGACGCACTAAAAATGCACTCCATCTGTAATTAAATAAATAAAAAATATGTTATTCTTTGAGCTATTGAAATACTAAGACAATACAATAAATTGAATTATTCTCTCTAATCACTTAAACAAATTCAGTTAAAATGATCTCAATGTGGTCAACCTCGTTCATATATAAATGTAAATAGCTGATAATAACCTCACACATCAATTGTATATATATATGTTAGTTGGAGTATAGTAGTCGATAGAGAACCGTACTTCAAAATATAGACTATGAATAGCTATCGGAGCCCAATCACAGGCAAATGAGTCGCCAGTGTGTCATCCCTTCTCATAGGATAGTAAACAGAAATGTCAAAATCAGGTACCTACTCAAGATCAGTTGCGTAGAGTGTATTGCAAGATACAATAGACTTTTTGTTTATTTATGTAAAATTCTTTTTGCTTTCATACATATTTTTTGTGATAGTTTGAGTCTCTATAACTACCATATATTCATGCGTAACTTGATTACTATTACATTACTCCGTTGGAAAGCTTGTCCTGTCCTTGTGCGTCTTTTTCAGTATATGCCATTCATCAGCGGAGAGAACAATAATTTTTTTCAATCAAATACATACATATGTTAAATTTGTGCCTGAAAAAGTTTTTTTGCGGGAAGCTCTTTTTCATTGCTTTGATATGAAGAAAATATGCCGAAGATCTTCGCATTTTGATGAACATGCTCTAGCTGGGCAAACGTGGCTTGCAAAGTTTAAAAGTAGTGATTTTGGCTTGGAAGACGGAGAACGACCTGGGCGGAAAAAAGTTTAAAGATGAGAAACTGGAAGCATTACTTCATGAATATTGTTGCCAAATACAAGAAGAATATTTGGGAGTCACGCCAGCAGCCAGTTTAAGTAAGCAAATTAGGTGCCATTTTTCGAAGACGATTAGGCATGTCAGAAATACTGCTTGAACGCTAAAAAAATTCGTTTCTGCATCATTGTGATGGAAAATGGATTCATTACAACAACCCTTTACTCAACGCGTTCATAGGGAACGAAGAGAGGGATTGCCAACAAACGCCATTAAAAAACTGAGTAATTTAGCGCAGAAATTAATTCAAATCTATATAAAGCTCTTAAATTTTAATGAACTTTATAAATTTCTATTTCTATATGTTTCATGTTTCAATTTCTGGCAAAATTTGAACAATGTTGTCAAATACTTTAAACAGCTCTTCTCAAAGGTGTAAGGGTATATCTGCGTTTATAAGTATACTAGCTTCAGTAGCCTTTCACAAAGCCAATTGATATTATAGTA